AAGCGCGGCGCGGGAGCAGCGCGAGCGAGCCCTGCGGACGGGGAGGCTGGCCAGGGAGCAGCGGAGCCGGCGCCGCTCGGCCCCGTCGTGCCGGAGCGCGGCTCCCTGGGAAGCGCCTCCTTGTTGTCCGCTGCGGCGTGTCCTGCTGCTCTTGAAGCTTTAGAGGTCACGTCTTGCCAGCTCTGCCCCCACCCCACCTCCCTTTCCACTGGGGCACCTCTCCTTGCTAACCCGCAACACAGCGGAGGAGCCAGAAGGAGCGCAGAGAGCTTGTAAATGCGTTGCGTGCAGCAGCGAAGCCTCTCTCCCTTCCCCCTGCGCGCTGGGCTGCTATTTAAAGTATGAAGCAAATGCTTTTAGAAAAGATTCCTAGGTTTGGACACCTTCCAATGTTAGTAATGTACAGTTGGCAGAACAAGCAGTTTGCGGCTGTGGCAGCAACCTGATCTTCCTCTGCCAAGACAGCAATAAATGCAGCAGAGGAAGGGGCCAGACAGTTAATTTTTCAACGTTCATCTGTCCCGCAAAAGTTTTGAGATTTAGAGTTGTGTGGTTTCGGGAGTGCTGCTTTTGGGCCCTCGGCCGCGCGTGAGCCCAGTCCCTCAACGGGAAACGAGAAGAAAGGGCTGCTGAAGTAAGCCAGGCAATGAGGAACTTAGCAAAGAGAAAAAAGCTCCGAATGTCCCACTAAATAACAGACTTGTAATGGGCTTGCTACTTTAGTAGGGCCCGGACTGATTCTCGTGGACTTCCCACCCCCAGGCTGGGGCAGTTTGGAGATGTAGGTGGAGGACGATGGAGATTGGAGAGACGGTGGAGACGGATTAGATGGAGATGGGAGAGATGGCAGAGATGGAGTGGACAGAGATTGGAGAGATGGTGGAGACGGAGGACGACAAGGCTGAAGCCTAAACTCTTCATGTTTCTGCTCTTTGCGCCAGGAGGCCGATCTGGCTGAGGATCTCGTGGTCTCCAAGCTCTCACACCACCCCTACAAGACCCTCTGATGCTCTCTGGCAGCGGCTTTCCCTGTTTCTCTCCTCGCAGTCTGCTGTGGGTACCTGCGTGGGTATCAAACCCGAAGTGATCCTCAACACACCTGCGTGTTGTGTGTTACACCAACATCCTGTCATGTAAAATGTCTTAGTTTCCTGCACTACAAGAAAACCCTTCATAATCTGTATTGGTCAGGAAAAATGAGGCATTGGATCATACAAGGAAGTCATACGGTGTGAGATACAGGGCCTGAGCGGTGCCGCTCCTGCCCCAAGGAGAGGCTGGGTCGACACCGGTTGCATCGCTCCGTCCTGCGATGCCAGGTGGGGGCTTTCACCACCTCCAGAAGGGACCTTCCTTCTTCCCCAGGAGAAATTTTAATTCAGCACCTCCATTTTGTGAGGAGATGACCTTGGGCTTACGCAAGAGCTGGAGGCAGATGTGCAGAAGGGCGTGCAGAGGTCTGAAGGAGCCGGCGAGCCCGGGGCATTGGAGCCTGCTGCCGGCGGAGGGGCACCTCGTCTTTCCTGTAGGCCTGCCAACCTTGGGAGCGTCCTCTTTACGATTAAGTCACTACGTCTTTTCCCAAAAGCCCTCTACGCTGATAGGGTGCTTAATTTCCTTCCAGAGCAGGAATGGAAATGCAGCATCTTAATAGAATAAATCAAATAATATTGAACTTCTCATTACGCTGCCTGCAAACTCGAACAGCCGCAGAGGGTTGCCCTTGAAACACCTCCTCATGTGCTACAAGTAACTCTACAAGCAGGAGCCTTCGCGGGACCTCCTTCCCCCTGTCCTTCCTGTGTTTGCTCTTTGCCGCCTGCCTCCGGCTGCTCCTGCTGTGCTGCAGTATGTTACTTTTCCGCCGAAATTGGGGCTGAGAGCCGCAAGCTACCTGGAACCTGAGCTTCCGCAGCGCATCTCTCGTCCCAGCCAGAACCCTTGGGGTGCTGGTTATTAGTTTCTGTCCCTGTCAGGTCCAAAAGCCCCAGTAGTTTTACTCTGGAGTTGCCAAAAGGAAGGATTTGTTCCGGGGTTGCTGGGGTGCGTGCAACTTGCGTGTATCACCAAGGCCCCTGACTCGTCTGCGTGTCGGTTCAGTGAAGAGGGTTTTACGGCAGCGGGGGAATTATAAGAGTGAGCCGTTCCCTTTCGGTGCGTGTTGGTAGAGTTGCTGGATTTATTTTTACAGGTATGGAGGAAAAAAAAAAAATCCAGCTCTTTAGATAATGCAATTTTGTTCTGTAACAATGTTACAGAGGACTGACCTGATTAGAGGACGTTTTCGAAGGGATTAAGAATTAGCTTTCTTTTCTAACCGTTACTGCGTTAACCTGGAAAGAAGATGACGCCCGAAACAAACATGGGCTACCTCGGGCACACTTGTGCTGCTCTGTCACCGGGGAACCTATCACTGCATCAACCCCAAATGAAGACAGCCCTGAATTTATGACCTCCCCCCCACCCCCAATTTGTAAGTTAACCTACTTGGGGAAGTAGTTTTCCTTTTGGGTAAATATAGGAGGTTAATTAAGTGTAGTGTATGAAGTCATTATTGACTTTGGCTGCTCTATTGCATATGATCATTGGGCTGTCAGTGGCTTTGCTTTAATTATGTTTCCCTGCTGTCTAGTCATATGTTCAGATTTGGCCCTGGAATTATTTTATTATAAACATGTACAACTTCTAGCACAGAGAGGTCCTGAGTCCTTGGTGGGTCAGAGAGAAGCCTCTTCTGTACAAGTACTGAGTTTCTTCTTGGGTTTGTGAATGCCAGCACACAGTGACCTGAAAAAAGAGAACCAAAAAAGTCCTGCCTTTGTATGTAGCAGTGATCAGAAAGTGGTGAACTAGTGGCCTGGCAACAGACTTTTCCCATGGCGGGCAACGGCAAGGGGAGTTTTTGCGAGTCGGAGAGGAGGAGATCCTGTCCTCTGGGCCAAGAACCCCTTCTTGTCCTTGCGGTGATGCTGGCACCTGAGTGATGGGGTACGTTATTAAAGAGCATAAAACTGCTCCCATAAAGCCACGAGACAAGTA